CCTTCCTTCCTTCCTTCCTTCCTTCCTTCCTTCCTTCCTTCCTTCCTTCCTTCCTTCCTTCCTTTCAGAAATGCTCCATGACAGTGTGGGGAAGGCTCCGCAAAGAGCTGTCACAAATGCCATTAAGTCAGGCCACACTTAGCTGCCTGTATTTCAGGTAGTTGCTAGGAGACTGGGTTGAATAATATCTATCACTGTCTCTTTGCCTAGTCAATGCTCATAACAATGTGAGGTTTAATAAGCGTGTGCTGTCCCTAGCTATGTGTTGTGGGCATAGAGTGTTCCATGTAGTCATTACTCTTCTCCAGGGGCACATTTTATAGAACTGTTCGAAAGATATAATCTTCACTGGCTGTGTTTCATTGCCATACAGTGAAGGAGAACGGCTTTCCTTTAGAAATATAACAACCAGCACCATTACGTTGAAACATGTACTAAAGGAAAAGCATATTTCTCTTGTGTGAGGATTCAATTAAGAATAACAGACAAAAAACAAAGGGCCTTGTGTTCTCACTAATGCTGCCTCATGGTTATAAATTCTCCATAAGAAATAATCAAGTACAGTGGGAACTCTGTTAATTACCTGCCATCAAATGTAATGATATGTGGGTCGGTAAAGGAGTAGCAATAGGCAGAAGGGAGATCCTTCACAGTAACCTTTGGGGAAAAAAGCAAAGACATTAAATCTGAGGATGAGGAATCCTTCAAATAATCGCAGGCTGATCATGGATCTTCTATGTAACAGACAAGGCTGCAGTCCCCTACTCATTACTTGGGAGTAAGCCTTGTTCAACACAATGGGGCTACAGTGAGGGCCGTAAAGATATTAACAGCACAATCCTATCCATAATTAGACAGAAAAAATGCCTACAGCTCCCAGTCTTCCCCTGTCAGCCATGCTGACTCTCTCTCTGTTCCCATGCAGGGAGCTGTACACATTTTTCCCTGTCTAACCATATGTAGGATTGCATTTTAAAGCATCTAATTTGTACTGTGCATTGTTACATGTCATAATTGTACACATTTAAAATTCCTGAATTGATTAAAAGTATTTCCAAATCACTTTTTTATCTGGCATGGGTTCCAAGATGGAAAATAATTAAAAATATTAACAATGCCTTGGGTAACATAAACTCGCAAAAATTAGCCAGTTTACATAGTTGATTTCTGGGCTTATTTTTCCTCCTTTTCTTCCTTTTATTGAGTTTGAATGAGATGGGTGTCTACCTGAACACTCTCAGGAGTGTAACCGTTCCACAGAAAATGGTCACTAACGATAGGTTCCACCACAATCCTGGTTCTTCTGTCTCCATCTTGAATCAAATCTGTCACAGCGGTATATTGGACACTGGCATGGCCACATGTTCCATTGAGGCAGGGGTGCAGAAGAAGATCCACGTGACAAGAAGATAGAGCCAAGTTTAAACTCTGATGATCATTACCTGTTCCAAGGCAGATGAGCCAGGTGTAAGATTTTCTGTTCAGAGATATAAACAGACTTAGAGCCACTCCTCTGACCTGCCCCCTCCTTGCATGGAAGCCCTGGAACTCAGAGGCTTCCAAGGCTGCTGTAAGGACCAGGACCTTCCAAGGTAAGGACCAGGCTGGAGCCAGAAGGGCAGTAGAAGTAGTGGACACAATCTGTACTTCCTGGACTTCTGATATTCCCTATTTCACTAGATGGGCTTTTCCACCTGTCTAACAAGGGTTCTTCGGAGTGGGAGGGAAAGAGACTGAAGGAGATTCTGAATGACTCAAATCCAGGTCTCTCATGTCTCCTCCCATCACCACCCACTGGAACACTTCCTTTCCACTGCCTCCTCTGGCCTTGGAGAAGCAGCCAGCACAGTTGTCTCCATGCAGACTGCAAAGGGGAGAAGTCTGGGATCAGATCTCTGACTCCACCTTCTGAGGTTGGAATGCTTTCTCTAATCTCAGAGCAGTTTCTTGGACTGTCCTATGATCCCTGAGACACTTTCCCAGGGATCGCTCTCAAAAGTTTTGTAATCCAAGGCAGTTTGAGAATTGATCTTGCTGGGGAAGGAAGAAAGGAAGCTGAGAAGTTACTAGTTCTACATCTTGCAAGTTCTTTCATATAGTCCCTCTTCCTGAGTCATCCCTCTCCCTCACAATTACCCCACATTATCCAGATGATAATCTTCATGCAAGCAATAAACAGCAGTAAAACAGCTGTTTGCACATGACAGTCACCTGTAGGAAAGAAGCAGTAAATACAATACCAAGAGCTTAATAAGATGAGCTCTGGAAAGGTTTGTTTTCACAAGCTTCTCCCCCTGACCTAGATGCACAGAATAATTATTCATTCAGGAATGTATTTATGGTTACATTTTGCAGGTGTTGCATAAGGCTAAGGATCAATGTTTTCCTTTGCAAGCCTCTTCTGCTTCCTTATAATGATGCTCAATCAGTTCTTTAATTCACTAGGCTTTCAACAGTAAGGCCGTTAAGCCTCCATATATCCTGAAGTGCCTGATTCTGCCTAATCTTGGAACCTAAAGCAGGGTTGGACCTGGTCAGATCTGGATGGGTGCCTGAAATGTTGTGAACTGCTCAGAGAGCAGAGCTTTAATGTAATAGTAGTAGTAGTAATCCTAGTGAGCCTACATATCCTAAAGTATCCCTAACACACAAACCCATATAGACTGATATAAAAAGCTCAGCACACAATCAGAAGAATGTTAAGTCAAAATGATTAAAAGAATAAATTCAAGGCACAATCCATTTAAAAAAAAACAAGTAGAAATTACCTTCTTCTACCGTATTTAATTTTAATGAGATTTTGCAGTCATTTTCCAGTGGACTAGCTTGAGGGCAAGGAATGGGAATTTTGCTCTCTATTGTCAGCTTGTATTCTTTTCCATCCTCTGATATGGTAAAGGCCTCAGGAATCAGCTGGGTACACACCAACACAAAGAACATGTCAAGAATGCAAGATAACTAAACACACACACACACACACACACACACACACAGAGAGAGAGAGAGAGAGAGAGAGAGAGAGAGAGCGAGCGCGCGCGCGCGCGCGCGCGCGCTAGCTGTCATTAAGACATTATTCTTCTGAAAACCTTGTCCTGATGGGAACAGAAAATGTCTTCCGATTATTTTATGTAATCTTTAAAATCAGTTTTTCCAATACAAAAGCAAACTATGGGTACTCTGACTACTTGGGATTAACAATTGTTTATTAGTATGGCTGGGTTCAGGCAACACAATCACACACATTCCTACAACCCAAAGATAATTCATGGTTGCAAGACAATCTACACTTAACTCATAGTGAACCCTTGCCTGTGCAGCATTGTGCTGTCTGAACCCAGTCATTAATAATAAAATTAAGTCCATCCTGCCCAAAGAGTTTTCATTAGTTTTAATTGCATGTGAAACCATCCAGACTGTTCTTTACCACACAACTGAATATCACTATAAGTGCAATCTATATCACTATAGATTGCTTGGATTCCCAGCTCCAAGGCTGGAAGACAGCCCTGACTTCAAAGCTGGGGATCCCTGTTTAGATCCTCTTCCTCCTGCCATGGCTGGTGTGGAGATAACTGCACCAGCTACTTCTCTGAGGTCAGAAAGGTGACCATGGAGAAAGGATTTAATGGGAGGGGAGGGGAGGGGAGGGGAGGGGCAGGAAGGGGAGGAGATTGGTACCATGGTGGCCTCAGCTTCCTCCCCTCCCCCTCCGCAATCCAATGCACTGATGCTAGACAGCCGAAATCAGTTCTTAATTGCTCTGCAGAGAGGTGACTTTCAACTCAGTACTAATCCTGTTCTACTTGCTATGCCCATAATCCTTCAAGTTTAAAGCCCCACTGGATTAAATCACTCATACTTAGTTCCCATTAAAATAACTGGGACTTGCTGTTTTGCCCGCCTTTGCAGCCAAGGGGATCTTTCAATTTTAAACCCCACTTCCAAGCCCCTTGAAGCAATGGGAGCTCGAGTTTAGCCCCCTCCTGTGGGAACTGTTTTGGATTCAATTCAGCAAAACAAGCCCAGCTCTTCCCCAGCTCTGCAACACCAGGTCTGGGGGCCTTATTCTTACTACCATGGGTGGAAGCTTTCTGCCATGGAGCTTTCTAAGAATTGCAAGTATTTGGAGTATCCTCCTTTTGCTACCTTTATATGGTGTCACTGCACTTTTTTATTGTCTACCAAGCAAAATTCAGTGACTTGGGCAAAACAAAAAAATGCACTATTGGTTTTCAGAATTCTTATATTACTGCAACAAATCAAGCAAGTGACTACTTGTCCTCACAGAATGAATAGTTTTAAACTTACCTTAATTCCCACAAAAAATTCCTTGCTCTCAATAAATGAGCTCTGAATTTCTGGATTTTCTAAGAAAAAGGTAGAACTGCCACAGTAAATCTATGGAAGGCATAAGATAATACTGTGTTTTTATTCATGTTTTATATGTTTTAGCAATTTTAGACACTTTAAAAGTATTTTAATGTATACAGTTATATGTATCATGAATCATTTAGAGATTATCATCAGTATATAAATCTATTTAATAATAGCAGCAACAATGGTCACAAAACAATCACCTGTGGATCCAGACTATAATATATGCCACTTCAACAGACTGCAATCCCAAGTGCTCATTTTCTCTAGATCAAGAGCTAGCTGGTTACTACGCTGTAACTCAATACTTACTACCCATGTTAGAGTTAATGAGTGAACAAGGGTGGAGGCAAGACAAAAGGTGCCATTTTCACTCAAGATCTCTTCTTGCTGACACCAGTGTATAGGACATGAAATAATCAGTTCAAGCTGTGACAACCCAGATTCATGCTAGACATCAGGAAAAGCTTCCTCACTGTCACAGCAACACAACAGTGGAACCAGCTGCTTAGAGATGTGGTGGGCTCTCCCACACGAGAGACATTCAAAAAGAAACTGGACAGCCATCTGTACGAGTGAGGATGACAACCCAGATCTTCAGAGTCCTAGTCCAACACACTAACCACTACACCAGACTGGTTCTTGATACATAATGTTGCTGAGTCCAAGAAAGGAAGGGAGAACCAGTGTTTCCTCCTTGCCAAGAAGCCAAGAGATTATGTTCAGAGTCAACATCAAAAGGAGTGGAAAACAAACAAGGTAAGCTAAGGTAAGCTATATTGCATTTTTCCTTGGGCAGTTCCCTTTATATCCCTGCCCAATTTCTACCATCACTGGGGAAACACTTCTGTGGGCTCACTTGCTCCTCCAGCAACACCTGCACCCCTCCCCCTCGCACGATCACTTTACCAACTGGCAACAACCAGGGTGGACCACAGTCCCCACATTTTGATGTTTTCTTAAAACTCAGCTTGACATGTAGGCTTTCCTTGAAGCGCCACCCCACCAGCCATGGTTTGTAGAACCCCACAGTGAGTGTGTCTTTACTGCCGACTGGTTTTGTGCTGTTCCATTGTTTTATGTATTGTCATTTTGACAATAGGGTGTTCTATATTCACTTCTTTGATACCTCAGTGGAAAGTGGCATACATATTTACATAATAAGTCAAACATAAAGCATGTCCTTCTTCTGAGAAGCTCATGGTGGCTCACACAGCTCCTCTCCTCTCCTCTCCTCTCCTCTCCTCTCCTCTCCTCTCCTCTCCTCTTATCCTTGTGAGGTCATTTAGGCAGGCTGGCACATCCTCAGAAAACTCCGTGGCTAAGCGGTTAGGACTTGCTGCCAGGATTCCTGGGTCCAAACTGAGCACCTGAGCCACCATACCACACTGGCCATCAGTCCACTCCCACCCTAAATCCTTGACAGCAAGTTATTTGTGTTCAACCTTTATGAAATTGCACTAAGATGCAAGTTAGAGCTTTGCTCTGGACCTGGAAAAATGTTTCTTCTTCCAACTACCAAGTCAGAGGCAGTAACCTCAACAAAACCAAGAGGGCAGGCAGATACTGAAAACAACCATCTCAATTCCAACTCTACAACCACAACAATGAGTTTGTTTAATTATTGGACTCACAAATATAAACAAGAACCTGGCAGGTAATGATGGTACTTCTTCCAAGAGAATTACACATACTTACACTTTCCTGTTTATAATTAAGTGCATATTCTTTGCTGAATATAGATTAACTTTTTGGACTTGTATTTAGAACATCATTGAGGGAATATAAAACAATAATATGGCACTTAAATATACCCTGTCTCCGAGTCTGATGTTTATACCATCCAGTTCTAAAAGTGAAAATGCCTGGACTGTTGTCTCTTGTTTCAGCTCTTCTTTGATGCCTTCAGGAGACAATCTGGACCAAGACACAATAAAGCCCACTGTGGTGTTTATAGAGGGAACATCAAAGGTGCATCTTAAGAAAATGCTGCCTTCCAGTAACTCTGCCACAATTTCAGGTGTGCTGGGAGGGGCAGGTGATGGAAGTGGCAATTGTGAAGGAGACAATTTTCCTAACAACAAAAGAAGAGAAGAGACAGGTGAATGCCATTTCAGATATGTGAAACAAAACACACGGAAATGAATAATGCAGACGCCCCGAGACAAGAAAAATAGTGCATTTTTCTACAAATCATTTTAAATCTGTAACTTGAAATCAATTGCCTCTGATTCTGGAGATAGTACTCCTTGTTCCAGTGTCCGTTGACCTGCCCCTGGGGCTTCTGGTGGTAGGATTAAGGTTGCTCACACATGCTTACTGGTCACCTTGCTTCAAGGAGAAAATTCATCTTTTTTTCCCACCACTGAATTTCAGCAGCAAATTGGTGGTGGCAAATTTGGCAGTGGCAGGAGGTGTTTAGTGGTTTCTGGAGGTCAGAAATTAGCTCCCAGAACTTGCCCACCCTTACCTTCAAAATATATTTACAATCAGAACAAAGCACTTACCGTTGCAGGATGTTTCAGTTTCTGTCTCCCCAGGTTGGCAGTCCTGCAGCTTGGCATCTGAAATAACTAGTGAAATATGTCTTACATTAATTTTGCCCAGATCTTAATGGGCATGTAGGTATATATGGGAGAAGGTGGGTCTTCAGGAAGCCAGGTCCTAAACCATTAAGGTCCTAAGAAATGTGGAAGTGTCTGCCGAAGCACACCATTTCAGAAATTAACACATTCTGGAGGCACACTTATTGCCATTTGAACACCATGAGAAGTGTATTTTGTGTTGGAACAGAAGCCATATTTGCGCAATGTTGACTGGCTGGCCGCTTTTGTCTGTTTATGCCTTTCTCAAATGCTAAACCTCTCCTGGGACTAAGTTATGGGACACAAAGCTCACTCACCTACACTGTTCAGTCCCTAGGGTCGCTATATTTAGAAATCTGAATTCACCCTAAGCAGGTGCCTGAGGATTAAAAGTTCAGATTATAAACTATTCAAGCTGCCTGAACTATTTAAACTTTTCAGTATGCTATAATTTTACTGAACAGCTTTAAGGTTTTAAAAATCCAATTTCATTTCTCTCTTTAAGACAGCTCATTACTTTCAGTTTAAGAAAGCAAGTTGGCTCTTAGTTTAATGTAGCAGTGAAAATGTTTTCAATATTTAAATTATTCTTCACCATAAAAATAAATGGTGTATTATACTATACACATTTAGAATTCCAGCAAACAAGTTGCATGGGATGATGAAGAGTGTATATGACCTTCACTGTCTACTTTTCTCTCATATTATAAAGATCCATTAAATTATAACTCTTTTAGAAAATAAAAGTAATGAAAAATAGTATTCTAGACTACTCAGGGTAAGTAACAGATACCCTTTTCTGCTAATAAAAATATTATTTTGTGTTTTAATTAAAACCCCAGGTAGCATTAAATTTAAAACTTCTTTTACTGCAAGTAAAACAGCTTTGGTATAAGACCCTTTCTTCTCGAGTCTAGTTTTCTGACATAAATGCAACTTTGCTTAATCTGCTCATCAGGTTTTCTGTTGGCCCAACACATACACACTCAGCACACAAATAGCTCATTTCTTCCGTAAATCTGCAATAATTTCTATAGCGACTTCCAGAGGGATATTTATAATTGTCACAGGAAGCATTGTGTGACTCTGTAAGGACTAACACACGCATCAAGGACACAACCCAATGCATGTTTAGGCAAAAAAGACTTACAAATTAAATGCTTGAAACTATCATTTCCAAGAAAAAGAATGTATCATAGCATCATAAACATGCATAAAATTGTGCCCTAAATTCATTCATTCTTGTGGATCAGGCAGCAGTTTTGTCCTAACCAAGATAATATATCCACCCATTATGTTTTGCTATAGCATCTCATGAGAGTAAACACATATTGTCAGTCCTGTGGATCACAACTGGAGGAATATAGCAGTTGTTGGAGGTTATTTTTTGGTGTTTTAAAAGCAAAAGTCATGCTCCACAGGCAATCTTAAACAGCAGAAGCCATTCTACTACCTTCGAATACTCCCACTCCAATCCATTGCACCCCATCAGTTCGTACATCATTCTATTGACCTCAATGGATGCCCAGGCAGGTGCCTAAGTCGTGCACACACACCTGCCAAAGGAAGGAGGAAGGAATGCAGGAAGAGACCTCTCTTGGCCCACCCAGGCCACTGCACCGCTGCGCCAGCACGCCTGCCACCCGGCTGCTCACCCACCTTGTGTGCTGAAGGGCCCTTTGCCCATCTCACTTGCCACTCTTCCCCCACGCCACCATACCAGCCCCATGAACCTAGAGACAGAGGTGGACTCCGTGGCACGGAGCTCCTTTATCATCTGTTCTCTGGACAGATGCAGCCTGACAACAGCCATCTATGTTAATCTCCTGTTTGGATTACTGTAATGCATCATAGGTAGGGCTGCCTTGAAAACCATGCAGAGACCAAGCCAAGGAAGCAAGGTTAATTACTGGGGACTGCTCAACATGACTATATTACGCCAGTAGTTTCTAATCGGCAGAAGCTGCCGCTTCATTGCCAGGTCCAATTCAAAGACTCTGGTTACATAAAGGACCTTTTCTTCCCACATATACCTGCCCAAACCCTAAGATGCCAGGGGTCCTTCTCTGGAAACCCTAACAAATGAAGTTAAGTGTGTGGCTACTAAGAAGAGAGACGTCTCTTTTGTGCCATCCTGACTGCAGAAAAAGCTCCCCATCGGACTCACCTAGAGTCTATGTTGTGATCCTTTGGTACCAGGTGAAGATCTTGTTTTCCAAGGCATTTTAGTCTTCCAGTTTCTCTTATTTTAAATGTGTTACTATATTTTATGTATTTGCCCTGCTGCCAGGTTTTGGTTATTTTAGTTCTATTTTTATTTTACGCTCTAGTTTTAAATTTTTATGTTATGCTTTATCATGTTGTATTATATGGTTTCAATACCTCTGAACTGCCCAGAAAGCTTTGGCTATTGAACGGTATAACCACAATATATTGTTGGGCAGTATAACAATATTTTGTATTGGCTATTGGACAGTATAACAATGTTTATTACTATGTAATAAATAGCCTCTCCCTGCTGGGATGGACAGGGCACGTGCCCTTCTCCACCTCTGCACGGAGAGGCTTTGGAAGCCAGGATTCAGTTGGCTATACTGGTGCAATCCCTATTTGCCAAGTGATTCCAGTACACAAACAGGAAAGGTCTAAACAGTCCCATCTCTGCATTCTTAGGCTGGGGAGGGGGAATTAGAGCAAGAGTGAGAGGTCATGTCCATGTGTGTTTGTGACAGCTGTGCATGTGTGTCTGCTGTTGCTGCCTGTGGTCCTTAGAGGAAAAAAGGTTGTCCATTAGGTATACTTCACAGGCACACCACACTTAATATATTCCATACCTACTGACATATGTATAAAAACATAACAGGAGACCAGAATGATGAGTGTTTCATTTGGAAAAATAAAGCTCATACATACTCAGTGATGCTGGAGCATGTTCTTTCTTACCTTCCATTGTGCTGTCACAGGAGGTCTTTGGGACCGACATCCAGGGTTCTTCTAAGAAAAATATGTAAGAAGCCCCCAAGCGCGAGACGGGTGCCACCTACTGGTGTGGAGGAGGGTCAGAAACTGCAGCCCCCAGAGGTTGAAAGGGACACACTCATGACCTGCTCATGGGCTTCCATGAATAGGCAGTTGACCACTGTACAAACTGAATGCTTGTCTGATTCATCTTATGTTCACAGGCCTGCTGTCCCACTCTGGTCCCCTGAGGGTCACTCAGGTGGCCACCTTCCCTGCCCCATGCCACATCCTCTTTCCTGACCCTTTGGTGGTTTCCCAGGTTGTCCAGGTCTTCCCCATTCTGGAAGGCTGGAATGCATTTCCTAAACCTTCCTTACTGGCAGTAAGAACTTTCAGCTAATATGCTAGTATTTTTAGTATTTCTGGTCCTGTCCCTTTTGCCTTAAGCCCATTTTAACTTCAACTCCACCCACCACTGGAATGCAGCTCTTGAAACTCTTTGGAAACTTTTCCAAGATGGAATTCAACCCTCGGGCAGAAAGAGGTCCAATGTACCTGCCCTAAAATTGCCCAGTTGCACCGCTCCTCACCTTCTGAGCAATATCCCATGCACCCCTGGGTAGGCTGAAGCAAGTACACAAAGAAAGCTCCGCAGTTCCTCACACTAACAGGAATTCGGAAAAGGCAGCAATCCATTGTAGTGAAGAAAAACTGCCATGTTGCACAGGCTGTTAAGCGTTTGATCTCGCCAGGTCGAGGCATGGATTCTGAATCTCTCAGAGACAACCAGACAGGGGCCTGTGTTCCACAGTGATTCATCTTTTAGCATCAAAAGCAAAACAGGGAAAAAATAATCAGTCACTGCAATTTATTGCCTCCACCCAAGATAAGTAAAAAACAGAGAAATAAAGAGCACTCTGGGTCTATGTACACCAGTACAGACAGCAACCTGTCAGCTATGTGTAACACCCTCTTTTGCCACCTGCTGAACACTGAAAAACAGGACCTGGACAACCACTTAGCAGGTCACACATGACCTGCTGCTAGGAAAGCTTTCACTAGGCCATTCATAAGCCGAGTGTCAGGAGCTGCTTGAATATTCACATGGCCACTGAACTGTAGGTGACAACTTTCTGCCCATGGCCAAACTACAGCATATGCCAATTGCACTGCATGTAGCTAAAGATCAGCTTTTTATTGACATCAGTGTAAGCACAAGCAGCCCCATTTAGGATCTAGACTGCCATGCACCAGGAGGGGAGAATTAATTCTTCTCCCCATAAATTCCTCTGCAAATTCCAGCCCAGTGTCTGAACTGGCATCCACTGATGTCAATAAAACCCTTTCCTCTTTTAACTTCCCAGCTTCCAATTCACTGATATCGAATGATTTCAGGGGGAAATGGTGCACAGGGGAGATTTAATTCTCTCCTCCCAGTGGTCTTAATCAAAACTGGGGATCCACTTACTTAAACGGGAATAAAGAGCTATCCTTCAGCTACAAGCTATGTGAGTAGCATACCATGTGGTTTGACTCTCAGTGATGAACATTCTGGTCTGTGTCCATCCTCCTTGGGTCATTTTTCAGAACAGTCCTGCAGGGTAGGAATTTACTTCCTACAAAGTAGTCCTATACTAGCAGCTATCTTACCAAATAGAAAATGTACCAAAGTTTGCCGGATTCTTAAAGATGCATATTTAGACAGAAAGAAGGTCTACAGCTTGCAGTGCTACTCAGCCAGATACGTGCATAGCATTGTGCTTTAAGTACATGATAAAGAGTCTAATGTTATTTGTTTTAAGAACTGATGGGCGGACCTTACACATAAGTTCAGAGGAGGCAACACAGATGATCCAGGGACTGGAAACAAATCCCTGTGAGGAGAAACTGAAGGAACTGGGCATGATTAACTTCAAGAAGATAAAACTGAGGGGAGATATGATAGTACTCTACATGTACTTGAAAGGCTGTCCCAAAGTGGAAGGACAGGATCTCTTCTTGGTCATCCCAGAGTACAGGACAAGGGGCTAAAGTTACAGGAAGCCAGGTTCCGGATGAACACTAGCATGGCAGAGCAGTACAACAATGGAACCAATTAGCTTTGGCAGTTGTGAGCTCTCCCACACTGGAGGCATTCAAGGTGCAACTGGAGAGCCATCTGAGAGGGGCGGTGTAATCTGGAGTCCTGCACTGAGGCGGTGAATAGACCCAGTGGCCCTCTGACCCCTTTCAACTCTGCAATTCTGTGATTCTGTGATATGCTTCCAGTTCTTTTTAATATCACAGTTGCTGCTGCTCCACCTTACCAAGGCTGTTACCAGATGGATGGTCCTAACACTACCAATCAAAACAGATGGAAGAGCGTAAGCAAAGGGTAAACACAGGAGGGCTGTGAATTAAGACAATGACATCTGGACCCTTTGCAAAATTATGTGAATAAGGCCCCATAAAAGCATCATCTGGAAGCGCCATCATTCTTTCAGTAGGAAGATGCAGGCGCCACCTATCCTTCTATGCACTGCTATTCTCTTGTTTTGGGTATCTTAAAAAGTTTACATACAGTGATAATGATACTGTTTGCATTAATTAATGATGCTGCTGTGTAAATCAATATACATGGGTCAGATAGATTTCAGTTTTTCCTAACTGAACCTGTATTATGCAGAAATGCATTTTATGCACTAACCCCACAAAAATGAGGAAAATGGAGGAAACTCACATTCACTTTATGCACTGATATAACAATTAGTTATAAACACATGGACACACACACACAGAGTGCACTCATCACATAACACAAACACGACTTCACATTGTAGAACACTGTCTTTAGGAAAAAACAAAATAAAGCATTGATATTTCACCAAAAATACTGATAAAACCTAGATAAGAGGACCTCGTGAGAACTAAATCATCCAGAGTACATAAGTAACACCTTATACTATGAAATCTGAAAGCCATGGGGAAAAGCTGGGAAGATAAGTGGATCCTTCCCCTAAGTTAGGCAAATACCATTGCCACTCAGTATCACTGGACACAAATTACTAATACAGACAACTAGTATCCAGCCATATAAGTGTCGGGAAGCCATGTCACCTGGAAGAATTGTCGCCTTTCCACAGATAAGAATATGTGGCAGTAAAAACATCATACTACATCTATAAAAATAGATGTAAGAGAACATGTAACCATGTAAGAGAACATACAATCATTGTATTGGTATTTACCCCATTGTCAACAATAAACAGAAAGAAAACTTAGTTTGACACACACAGAGAGAATACAGGCCAGAGAAACAAGATCTGCACTTTTAATGTGCTATATGACTAACCAATACGTGGTGTGACTTTTGCCTATTTTAGACCAATTTTTTTTTCTTTTTGTTGTAGACTTGAAATATTCAAACAGAAATTAGGATGCTGCAATAGTTTTTTCAGGCTTGACACTTGACTAGCAGAACAGTTATGGTGTAAACCCAGAAATAAGAGCTAGAATTTGAATTTATGGAAGATGTCTATTTTTTTTAAGGAGTCTATACCATTCAACAGTTATTTCTTAGAGATTTAATGAAATGCAGCAATACCTCCACACACTTGGTTGGCATTTCAGCCTGTTTATCAAAAAGCAGAAAGCGGTACCATCCAGATTCCAGGGAATGGTCACATATTAAGTCCTGAATAGCTGATTGCTGAAGTTGTGTTGAATCAAAATCAGTGCTTCGGTATGGATTATGAAGGATCTGATGACCATCAGGAAGACATTCTAGAGCTGCAGAAATATTGAAGAAATTAACATTCTGATTTCTACATCAATAGTGTCATATTGGTTTCAAACACATTTAGCTACATTGGGTGAAGATATACCACCGGTCAAAATAAAAGCATTTCTTGCTAGAAGGATTTCCATTATATTCAGTAAGGTCAGTTGTGATCTTTACTCATGTTGGTTAAAAACGATGTAGGTGAAATCCAGATCACTTTGTGTACATGGGGAAACGTCTAGTCCTCTAGAGGGCTTCCCTCTGTCTTCTGGCAGAACTTTGTGGGCATTTTCCTAGCACTACTTGGAGATGCTACAGATTAAACCTGTGACTTCTGCATGCAAAGGAGATGCCCTACTACTGAACTATGGCCCCTCTCAATGTCATATGTAGAGCCTACATTTCTAAGCAAAAGTCTTCAAAAGAATTTCCAGTGAATTGGTCTATTTAGCGCAGTACAGCCTAAGTTAGTGGCAGTGACTTTTCAGTGTATCAGACAAGAGTGTTTCCCAGTTTCATTTGGAGATGCCAGAGACTCAAGCCATGACCTTTCACACATGACACCATTCCCCCCACTGGTCTGCAACCCTTCCCAAGGAATCTCTGTCCTTTAGCTGCAGAATCTTATTCCATGCCATAGCAAAGATGCCCTTCCTCAAATAATAGTGGATAGATAACCAACACACAAGAGATACACACACTAATGTGTGACTCCATTAGGTGTAGGGGCACCATAGAAATGAGTGAATAAACTAATGACTACTGCTATATATGAAAAACAAGATATACACACACAAACGATGAAAGGCTGCTGAATAATATAAACTGAATTTAAACCTGAGGGTATTTATGTCATGTTGACAAGTGTTGAAGAATCAAAACATTGCTGTGTCTCTGACACTAACACCTGGGAAACTGACCAACTTGACTGAAAGGTAAGATTATGTTACTCAGCTTTTAGACACCAACATTAAACACAGAGTATCCATTTCGGGGCTGTGAGGTAGGAGGGCCGCTTGCAACCCTTGGCCTAATTTTAAAGTTCTCTGCAAGCAATCTGTTCAAATCCCTGGCAAGCGTATTCTGCGCTTCCACCAGCAGTCCACTAGGCAAGAACAAAGGCGGCAGAGAGAAAGAGGAAGTGAACATGTGAACCCCATACATCACCCTCCAAGGGAAATAGGGCTTCTAGAGAAAAGATTCTCCACCTCTGATCTAAACCACAGACTTTGATTACAGCTGGTAACTAAGGAAGAAAACCAGGAATCCAATCATTAGACTTTTCAATGAGTGTGCAACTTACCAGCTGGTAGTGTTAGGTTATATTCACAATATAAATCTCATTTAATTGCCCATTTAATATATCATTCATTGATTTCTCTGAAACAGCATGTAAGCACATAATGAAGGGAACAGAGGACACTGCAGAAATGACCATCTGTAGCTAAAAATTTGAAACACAGTATTAAAAAGAGAGAGAACCTGCTTGGAGTAATCAATAGACAAGGAGGCAAAAGACAGCTATTAATGAGTCTTTTTTCTGTGAGAAGCTTAGGTCAAAACACAGCAGCTGTGTGAAGTATGATTAAGTTCGGACAACAGATTAGCTGCAATCAACAACTGAGTGGAGGTTGTCATTGAACTATGGATGGTCATTGCTTTATCATGATCTCATGCTGTCTAAACACAGCTGGTGTAATAATCATGGTTTGTTAACTGAGAATAACCCATGAAGAAAACCAGTGGTTTATTCGTCTAGTGTGAAATTGTTGTTCTTGGTTAACAAACTATGGTTTATTCTCTCAGCTGGATTCAGACAACAAGGTAACCCATGATTCAACAACCCAGGGTTTGATGACAACACTCATCCCTTGAGAATGAATTATCATGTTGTCTGAACACAGTCTATGTGTAACTTTGTGGCAATGTGTCAAATAGCATTTATATACTTGTTTCTCACTAAAGCACATAGGAACAGAAGCATATTTTGGCAAACTGTTTTATCAACTGTAAAATCAATTTAAAGTTTCCAAGCTAATTGATAAAAAATAATTTTAAGACCTTGTGCACGTGTGAGGCTTGGCCTAGATTTTCACTTCCCACTGGTTGGTCAAGTTGAAAGCAATGGGATTTAAAAGAGACATGACAAATCTGTTCTCCCAGCGTAGTAATCCAAAGTTAGTCTTATACAGAGTAGGCTTATTGAAATGAATGAGACTTAAGTTTGCCACAACTAAATTAAGCCTCATTCATTTCAGTAAGTCCACTCTAGATAGGACTAACTTTGCATACTACTGTTGATTTCCATGGAACTCAGTGGAGTCTTACTGGCAGCAGAGTCTCTTGTCCCTTTGCAGCACATAGTGTATGCATCTGTAAACAGGTTATCTTGTATTTTTGGGTTTTAGAAGTTACTATTTACAACACCTTTCTCTTTATACATCAGATCAGGTCCATATATTCATTCAGAGTCACTAGCTTCTCCTCAAAAGCATACCGGTAGGCAATTCAATAATTATCATCATTAGTAACAATGATTAGCAATACGATTGCATTCCTGAAACCTATCAGTCCCATCATCCCCTCAGGGTGCCACAGGCACAAAACAAAACAACCAATGGGTATAAAACTGTGGCTTGTATGCAAGGATAATCTAAGTCCCATTCATTTCAATTCACCCTCAATAGGCGCAACACTGAATACAACTTTGGTGGAGTTTTAAAACAGGACTAGAAAGCGGGAGGGGAAAATATAACTTGCCGAATCAAACTTTTTTCGACAGAATTACAGCAGCAAGCGCGGGCAAGCAGCTCCTTTTCTGCTTGCCCGCGCCAAGCGGAAGATGCTCACGCCACCCCGCGCCTTACCTGGTTTCCTCTCCCGCGAGCTTACCTTGCTGGCAGCGCGCTTCCTGGAAGCACAGCAGAGCCACGCACAGGGAGACGACGCTGCCCGGCGAGCGCATGGCTGCCCTTCCCCTGGGGGCTGCCCTGCACGCGGGGAAGTCGTTCCCGCAGCTCGGCGCCCCAGCCCGAGCCCGAGCCCGCTGGGGAGCAGCGGCAACAGGTGTGCTCGGCGCCGCTCTTCCGCCCGAGAAACGCGGCCGGGGACCAGCGGCGCTCTGCCCGCGGCGCGGCGCAACGCTGCTGCAGTTCGCCCGAGTCCCGGGACGTCTGGCGCGCCCTCCCCCCGCAGGCCGTCCTGCCCGACAGCAGCCGGAGCGGCAGCAGAGCTGGGCGCGGGCTGCGCGTCGGCTGCTCCTCACGGAAGGCTCTAGAGCAGGGCAAGCGGCCGGGATTTTGGCTCTCCGCTCTTTTGAGCCACCCCCCCTCATCTCGTGCCTCCTGGCTCAGGCAAGCTCGCCGCTCCTGCTTGTCCCGTGGAGGGCGAGAATTCGCACGTTTGCAACGCATCGAACGCTTGCCCTTGTTTACTTCGTCGCTTCCCTCTTATTTCTGTGCATTTCCAGACCGTCCAATAGCCGAAGCCCTCTCAATAAGCCGTGGGAATGATTAAGCCGCGGTGGTGCAAGGTACCAAAACGATCCGGACTAGCCCCACACACCCCCGAGAGAAGAAATGCATATGTTAATTTTATATGCTTTAAACTCTCGCTCGCTCTCGCTCTCTGTGTCTTTAAAGAATCCTGTCTCCTGAGGTCACATCTAAGAGATGCATGGCCATGGGAGGTGAAGGAGGGCATTTCATTTTAGGGTGGGGGGGGGATAGTTCAGTGAGGGAAAGGGCAGCAGGTGCTGAAGTGCGAGTGGGCAAGAAACCTAGTAATCCAGGGGGATCAGGTGTGCCAGAGATCAGCGGGGCCCCTCCATCTTCATTTCAGTAAGTGATCAAGAACAGCAAGTTGGTGGGGCGGATGGCCCCACAGAGATTCAGGGCCGAAAAGGAAAGCTTTGGTGCTCCAGCTCTGGTGGGACCCTTGCAAGCACATTCTGTGGACTAAGCTGCCAGTGTGTGTGGTTTCATTGATGTGGGAGAAAGATTCTTTCTGGGTACCAGAGAGCCCTACTGCTATAGCCATGGTTACTTCAAGATGCCATGAGAAGAAAGTAGACAGGAACAAACAAATCAAAAGCACTGGGCAGTGTCCTATAGCAGTGATGGTGAACCTTTCAGAATCCGAGCACCCAAACTGCAACCCAAAACCCATTTGTTTATCGCAAAGTGCCAACACTACAATAAAGCCTGAAAACTGTGGTTTCAGTTTAGAAAAAACAACTCACGGCCAGTTCAAGCATATATTGGCAGTGCACTGACTGGCCACGCGAAAGCTTGGACAAGTTGTAGCTCATGAGGTCATCGCCAGGCACCACCACTCCTTTCCGAGCATGCGCATGGCCCCTGTGTGTGCTGTTACCCAATGCTCGGCTGCTGGGGCGATGCAGGGGTGACTTGGCTCACTTTCCGACAGAGGGCTCTGCGTGCCAGCTGTGGCAAGTGTGCCATAGGCTCACCACCACTGCCCTAACCCTACCCTGGTGCACTCCCCTAGCCCTAATATAGGGGTAAAATACTATTGAAGGGGTGATTTTTATCCTAGACTTCTGTAACGCGCTTTACGTGGGGCTTCCCCTGAAGACGGTCCGAACACTTCAGTTGGTGCAAAATAGAGCTGCCAGGTTGCTGACGGGGATGGGGCGTTATGTTCACATGACTCCAGTCCTCCGTCAGCTCCACTGGCTTCCCATTGAAGCCTGGGCCCAATTCAAGGTGTTGGTTATGACCTATAAAGCCCTAAACGGCTTGGGTCCTGGCTACCTGAACGAGTGCTTACGTCCAAATATGCCCGACCGCCCCTTGAGATCTGCGGGAGAGTCCCTTCTCCGGGAACCCTCCATGAAAGAAATTAGGAGAGTAAGTACTCGGAGGAGGGCTTTCTCTGCGGTGGCGCCCAACCTATGGAATTCATTCCCCAAAGAGGTCCGCCTGGCACCGTCATTACTGGTTTTTCGGCGCCAGGTAAAGACCTGTTTATTTAAACATCATTTTAATTGTTAAAACATATGATCTGGCCAGGGCAATTTCTTCTTCCCTCTCTTTTCTCCTCCTATATTCTTTATTTACTTATTTTATACTGTTAATTTTAATTTTATATTATTATGTTTGTATCTCAGTGTATTTTTTGTATTTTTGTATTTAGTGGTAATTTATTATGTGCTATTGTATTTCAATGTATTTTATTGTGTTGTAAGCCGCCCCGAGGCTTCGGCAAGGGGCGGCATAGAAATGTTAATAATAATAATAAAGGCCCTCCTTGAGTAGCTTTTTCTGCACTGCTCATCATTTCTGCCCACTCTAAATACATTCCAACCCTCAAAATCATGCCAGGATACCTCATTTTTTTTTAACCCTAACCCTACCCTGGTGCACACCCCTAGCCCAAATACAGGGCTAAAATTCCATAGAAAAGAGGGTGATTTTGAAAACACCTTCCTTGAGTAGCTTTTTCTGCATAGCTCATCATTTCTGCCCATTCTAAACCCAATAAAACTTAAAACTGAGGTTTTAGTTTACAAAAAAAAAAAAAAAAAAACACCTCACAGCCAGTCCAAGCAAATATATATATATCCTTGCCAGCGTGCTGACTGGCCATGCAAAAGCTTGGACGAGTCGTGGCTAATGAGTCGCGGCTCGTGATGTCATCACCTGGCACTGCTACTCCTTTCGGAGCATGCGCATGGCCGCTGTGTGCGCTGTTATCCAATGCTCAGCTGCTGGGACAATGCTGGGGCAACTTGGCTCATGTGCTGACAGAAGCGCCTCTGCCTGCCTTAGGTTCACCCCCATTCGCCTATAGTGTCCTTCCACTAGTAAAATGATGGTGTACTAGCGGAAACTACGTTGTGAACTATGCATGAGAAGAGAAACCAACTAAAGTTAAATTTGCCTGACCACTTACACATGCCTAACACACAATCACACAGTGCAAAGATTTGTGGAACTCTGCTGGGGCTGTTTGAGTTTGCAGAATGATACTGCTGGATATTGTCCACTCTAACAATGTGACATAAATTACCAACTTCCCCCTCTTGAATGGAAGGGCAACCCAGAACTATGATAAACCCAATGAATAACTAAGACAGACTTGTCCAACCTGATCTCCCCCCCTCCCCATGTTTTGGATTTCAGCTCCCATCAGCCCTAACCAGTGTGGTCAGTGGTCAGAAAGCTGGGAGTTGTAGTTGGAAACTTCTGGACAGTACCGGCTTGGACAAGGGTGCATGAGAAAGCTCATCTTATAGGATTTGGCTGTTCATATTTGAAGTCCCAATCCTACACCTGTTAGAACACAAGCCAGCAATAACTAAATAATACAAATGGAAGCCCAAACAAGAGGTCGGTGCTTCTTGATAAAAATCTGCAAGTATATCCATGGTTTAATTGCTGAAATTTTGAGATTACTATTGCAAAAGTAATAATTTGGGGAATGGACGTGACTCAGTGGAGGAATGTATGTATCCAGTTAAAGCAAATAACAGGTATGAAAAAGGCGTCTGTCTGGGTTCCTGGAGAGGCAGAGAAGAGAAGACTAGGCTAAATGGCTAAGCAGTGTGAGCCAGTATATGGTGGCTTCCTATGTGCTTAACTGATGCTAGGTACTGGTACCCTAATATTCTTCCAAAACGCACATTGGTTAACTTCCCTGCTGCATAGTCATGCTCTCCAGCGCATGGATGACAAGTGAACTGGTCTTGGTCATGATCTTCCACTCCAGATAATTGCTAACCCTATGTCCCTTTCTGAGTCAGCCAGGCTGATGCCCATGGCTGGAATTTACCTGAACATGTTATGAGCGATCTATGTGGTAGTGAGGTCTTTCTTTGGATGGAGTGAACTGTCTTCCAGCAGCTGATCAAAGAGAGCAACAGCTTTGTTCTCTGTCCACCAACTGTGTCCTACTACCATGGTCCATAGCTACAAAGATACTTCAGCTTGAAAGGCAACTTTGGTGTTTATTACAAGTCATAGCTAGAATTTGCATAGCTGTGAGTTTTGGAAATGTCTGGCGTGCTCTAGTAACCATTCCACCAAAAGGGAGGCTTTGGCCTGATCTACCTAAAATACAGTCTGTTCACAATTAGCAGCTTGTGGATTGTCCCAGCTCAAAAGTTCCAAAAGTAAAGTGGAAAAATAGAATGGATTTCTTTAATAAACACCTGACTAATACTAAAAATAATGCAAAACACTAAAGGAAAGTGAACCCATAGTGTGTAACAGAGAGGTGTGGAAGAACTGGGAAAAGTTTTCTGGGTGCTTCTTATATTATACTTTTTAGTAAAACTTCCAGGAGTATAGATACCCTTGCTTTGCACAATGCTAGGGAAAGTATCCTATGTTTACTGTAGATGCAATACGATTATTTATTGTTCTTGGATTGGGTTGAGCTGAACTTGGATTAAGTCAGTGAGCAGAGAAGAATATTTGGCTTTTCTTCTTCAGCTAACCTTTCTTGGCATCCATGTATATATTCAGAATCCTGAAAGATTAAGAAGCTTTACATTTTATAAAAATGAAAGCAGAATGGATTATCCTAGAATCAATGCAGCTTTGTTTGCATAAGAATGCAACATTTATAGCAGTTTGGGTCTTCCATGTTTTAGCCCCATAAAACACTCCCCAGTGGTGCAGCATGCTGTTTTGTGGGAAAGTTTTAACAACATGCGCACAGTCAAATTCTTAGCATGTTTACTCAAAAGCAAGTCCAGCAAAGTTCAGTGGCATTTATTCCAGGTAAATGTGCACAGGTTAACAGCTGTAGATTTCCTCAATGGGCTGGGAGTGATCAAGAATAGTAGCAAAGACTGGCTCTCCTTTCCTTTTGCTTTATATCCCCTTGGTGCTTTGCAGGGCAGCAATTCTGAGACCACCCATGGGCTTAGGGAATGCTTTGAGTGTTTCCTTGTCAGACTTGTCAGTTGAAATCAGTATAAAAGACTTGGGTCAGATCTCTCCAAGCAGCAAGGCAGCAAAGTCCACAAAAAGAGATCTTAAAACTTGAGATGCTGGGTAAGAAAAATGGTGATGATGAGTGGAATAAAAGTATATTGCATACTGAAAAACAAAAAGATTTAATTTAGTTTAATAAAACATTTCTAACTCATCCTTTACAACAGCATCTCAGGATGGCTTACGGCCATAAAATCCACAACAATGATAAACAATTCATAAAATGATGACAATAATAAATAATTAGCAATAATAATTACAATCAATAAAATAAGAATACTGTAAGAGTCAGAATAAATAAATTTTTAAAAAGTGACTATTGACTTAAACTCTAAAATCCCTTATTCTTAAAATGACATTCAAATAAAAAGATTTTCACCTGGTGCCAAAAAAAGTACAGCCACCCTCAGCACAAATGTCAAACAATGGCTTATGAAAATCTGTAGTAA